TTATTTTTGCGTAGCTCATGTTGGTTGCTGTGCATACGGCGTGCCTTCCGTTGATATTTATTGATGGCTCTGGCGACCTTTCCATATTTCAATATTTATTTGTTGGCTGGCTCGAGGTCCGTGTTTGTTAAAACAAACAATGAAAAACAATTTTATTCAATTCTCTTCCGATATATTTCGGTTGCACATCGGCAAACCGTCTTCAGGGCACTAACACCAAGATACAAAAAACAATTAACAATTATAATACAATAAATTAAACATTATTTCGAACATTTTACATACATTATTTTACACGTCTGCGCTTTTTGACGTGGAGATTGTTACTGAGGTTGTTTGACTGTTTAAGAGGTGTCTGTACAAGTGAGCGCAATTTTCTGTGTCTGTCTTGTAGTTTAGTCGTTTGTAGGTTGGTGTGTTAATTATGTGTAGCATTTCCAATGTGTGTCGCTTGTTATAGTGTTGTTCTTGTTGTAAGATTGTTGTTTCATCAAAATTTGGTGTGTGGTTGCTTCTTATACAATGGGTCATAAGTGCTGTTTTCTGTATATTATTTTGATGTCTTAGTTTGAAGTCCGATTTATGTTGACTAATCCTTGTTTTTAGCTTCGATTTTGTTGTACCTATGTAGACACTATTGCACTTGTTGTTGTTATCCCCGCCACATGGTATTTGGTAAACGACGTTGCTTTTTTCGATCATCGGGATTTTCGACTTTATCTTGTTGAAGAATTTTTGTAATGTATTCGTCGGTTTGTGTGCTACTTTTATATCTTGTTTGTTATAACAGTCTGAGTTTGTGAGGCGTTCTGATAGTCGTGGTACATATATTAGTGATTTGTATATTTTAGCAGGTTCTGTTGGCTTTTTTCTTTCGATTTGTCGTCTTTTTAATAATGTTTTGATTATATTTGGGGGGAAGTCATTTTTGGTCAAAAGTTCTTTGATTTCATGTTCAATTTCTTTGTGGTATATTGTGTCCGATATTTTCATCATTCTATTCATACAGCCTAGTGCTGTATTGATTATCATACTCTTTGGGTGGTTTGAATTGAAGTTGAGTATTCGTCCGGAGGCTATGGGTTTCCTATACCACTTTATTTTGAGTGTGTTGTCCATTCTGCTTACAATAGAGTCTAAAAATGGTAATTTCCCGTCCTTTTCTAATTCCATTGTAAATTTTATCTGTTTGTGGAAGGAATTCAATTCTTTTAGAATATTTTCCACGTCTATTTTGTTCGTTATGGCAAAAAGGTCATCTACATATTTGGTCAAGAGTCTTGGTTTTATTTTTAATTTATCTGTAATCTTGTCCAACAGTTCCTCCATTAGTTTGTCTGCACACACCAAATTTTGATGAAACAACAATCTTACAACAAGAACAACACTATAACAAGCGACACACATTGGAAATGCTACACATAATTAACACACCAACCTACAAACGACTAAACTACAAGACAGACACAGAAAATTGCGCTCACTTGTACAGACACCTCTTAAACAGTCAAACAACCTCAGTAACAATCTCCACGTCAAAAAGCGCAGACGTGTAAAATAATGTATGTAAAATGTTCGAAATAATGTTTAATTTATTGTATTATAATTGTTAATTGTTTTTTGTATCTTGGTGTTAGTGCCCTGAAGACGGTTTGCCGATGTGCAACCGAAATATATCGGAAGAGAATTGAATAAAATTGTTTTTCATTGTTTGTTTTAACAAACACGGACCTCGAGCCAGCCAACAAATAAATATTGAAATATGGAAAGGTCGCCAGAGCCATCAATAAATTAACTTTTTTTATGAAAAAACATTTTGTTTATCAAGATATCTTGACCAAACTCGGCATTTATTAGTTTTACTTTACTCTTCATATATATGCAAAATCCTATTAAGATCGGACCACTATATCATATAGCTGCCATAGGAACGATCGGTCGAAAATTAATTTTTTGTATGAAAAACATTTTGTTTTTCAAGATATCTTGACCAAACTCGGCACTTATTAGTTTTACTTTACTCCTCATATATATGCAAAATCCTATTAAGATCGGACCACTATATCATATAGCTGCCATAGGAATGATCGGTCGAAAATTAAGCTTTTGGATGAAAAAACATTTTGTTTATCAAGATATCTTGACCAAACTCGGCATTTATTAGTTTTACCTTACCCCTCATATATATGCAAAATCCTATAAAGATCGGACCACTATATCATATAGCTGCCATAGGATCGATCGATCGAAAATTAAGTCGTATGAAAATCTGCTTGAGTTTACTTCCTTGGTAAATGATGCTTTCCTTTCGAAAATGCAAACTGATGTCATTTACACTGACTTCAGTAAGGCGTTTGACTCTGTGCACCATGACATTTTACTTTTTAAACTTGACCGAATAGGTTTCCCTCTGTCCCTTTTACTTTGGATTAATTCTTATTTAAAAGGTAGGACCCAACGAGTAATACTGAGGTTGACTACCTCATCTTGGACCTTTACTCTTTACACTTTTTATAAATGATCTTCCCTCTGTTATATCACATGCCCGTGTACTCATGTATGCGGACGATGACAAACTTTTTCTATCATACACTAACCCCCTACATCATTCTCGTCTACAAGACGATTTGAACGCTATGCAACTTTGGTGTTCGGCCAATCAATTGCATCTAAATTGTTCAAAGTGTATGTTTATGACTTTTAATCGTACTACACCTTATCTTGTCAGTTATACAATCGACAATATACCTTTGCAACGTATACTAACAGTTAAGGATCTAGGCGTTATTTTTGATTCTAAACTCTGTTTCAATCTTCATATAGATACCATTGTTAATGAGCCAAAAGGTGTACTTGGATTCATTAAACGATGGTCTAAAGAGTTTAACGATCCTTTTATAACAAAACTTCTGTACATCTCTCTTGTTCGCCCTATCCTTGAATACTGCTCTTGCATCTGGTCTCCACAGTATATCAACAGCCAGGATCGTATTGAATCTGTTCAGAAGCAATTTCTGCTTTTTGCCTTACGAGGTTTAAATTGGGACCCTAATCTTCGGTTGCCGTCCTACTCCAGCAGACTGCTTCTTCTCAACCTTCCGTCGTTAATCAACCGTAGGACAATTCTCGGTGTTGTCCTTCTACATAAGTTGATTATTGGCGACATTGATTCTCCTTTTCTGCTAGGGCGTCTTCAATTCTCTGTTCCGGCTAGACCAACCAAAAATTATCGCCCCTTATTACTATCTACGTGCACAACTGATTACGCTATGCACAATTCTTTTCGCGTGCTATGTAAAAATTATAATAGTTTGCATCACGTTTTCTCTACCGAACTGTCTCTACCCCTAATAAAATCGTTGCTTTCAGGATACCTTGGGGAAGTCGCTGACCATTCCCAGCTATGAGCAGGGGCATAGCTAGCCGGACAGGCTGAAAAATTTTCCCCCACCGTGTCGGTGATTTTCCATTACTTTTCTCTTTGTCCTATCCACTTAACACTCTTTATCTAACTTACATTTCTTTACTTTATTAACAATTTTCTTACTTTCTTTTTTCCTATTTATTGTATTTTCTTTATTAATATAGCAAATTAAGATTATTTTTAATTTCACTTGAGATCACTTTTTTTCTACTTACAACCTTCTGCTTAGATGTAGGCTCTAATAGCGTCACTGACAAAATTAGCTGTGAAAAGGGGCACAGCTGGCCGGACTGGCAAATAAAACACCTCCATCGGTCGGTGATGCTATTTAGAAAATTGTATCCTTTAACTAGGCTTTTAGCATATAATTCTATTGTACAATCTTTTGAATAATGAGGAAGACACTCGTTTTGTCGACCATTAATAAATAAATAAAAAAAAAAAAAAAAAAAAAAAAAACATTTTGATTATCAAGATATCTTGACCAAACTCGGCATATACTATTTTCCCGGTACTTCTTAGATAGGGGCAAAGCACTATGAGCATTATGAAAAGGTTGGGTCTGCAAGGGTATTAGATCTTTGGCGTGCCGATGATAGCCCTTCTTTCTCGTTTTATTTGTATTTGATTTTATTAATTTTATTTCATTTTCTCAATGTTACAAAGTAAATTACGTTAGAATTATTGTTAGAATTGTTTTTTCAATGTTGCTTGCGCTCTTTTTTTTATACCCTTGCAGAGGGTATTATAATTTTGTCGTGAAACGTGTGACGCATAGAAGGAGACATCTCCGACCCCATAAAGTATATATATTCTTAATCAGCATCAACAGCCGAGTCGATATAGCCATGTCCGCCTGTCCGTCTGTCTGTTTTTATGCGAACTAGTCCCTCGGTTTTAAAGCTATCTTAATGAAATGCAGAACTCCCTCTTTCTGTTGCACGCAGCACATATGTGAAAACCAGCTGGATCGGACCACTATATCATATAACTGCCATAGGAACGATCGGTCGAAAATTAAGTTTTTGTTTGAAAAAACATTTTGTTTATCAAGACATCTTGACCAAACTCGGCACTTATTAGTTTTACTTTACTCCTCATATATGTGCAAAATCCTATTAAGATCGGACCACTCACTATATCATATAGCTGCCATAGGATAGATCGGTCGAAAATTAAGTTTTTGTATGAAAAAACATTTTTTTTTTTTCAAGATATCTTGACCAAGCTCGGCATTTATTAGTTTTACTATGCTCCTCATATATATGCAAAATCCTATTAAGATCGGACCACTATATCATATAGCTGCCATAGGAACAATCGGTCGAAATTTAAGTTGTATGAAAAAACATTTTGTTTATCAAGATATCTTGACTAAACTCGGCATTTACTATTTTCCCGGTACTTCTTAGTAGGTCTGCAAGGGTATTAGATCTTTGGCGTGCCGAAGATAGCCCTTCTTTCTCGTTTAATTTAAATCTTGTCCAGATCATTTGCTGGCTCATATACCTATTTAAGCATTTGTTATGCAACTTGTATAATTTATAAAAACAATTGGCGGACATTATAACAACAATTATTATTAATAGTATATTTACTAATTGTAAATCCATGTTACTTGACTCTACTTTATTAATGACATTAGCAGTGGAATCCACTGTCTTTAAGTCTACTAGTCTTATTTTGGGTTATATAAATAAGTTATAATTATAAATTTAGGTAAATTTTCATCAAAATTGCTAATTCATTTATTTTTCATTTATGTTTACAATTGTTCCTGCCTATATTTTGTTCAGCCTTCCAACATGTACTCTGATCGGGCGAGTTCTCGCTTAATTTTATAAAATCATTTTATATATATAAAACAAAAAATTCGTAGTGCGCTCTTTGTAGCGCTGTCGGTCCACTGTCGAAACTCGTTCATGTTGCTGCTGCTGGTCCTCGCACAGGCCGGGATGATTGTATGTTGCCCTCTATTGCGCTCTTTCTAGAGCTGTCGGTTTGGCAATCTCGAAAGTCAGTGCGCAGCCAATGTTGTAGAATAGACCCTCACATTCCGCCGGACATTGTCTCTTATATGCTGGGATAGCTGTTTGAATAGGAGGAGCTACTTTCTTGTTTATAGTTTGTATCTTGCTGTAGGAGACGGATGGATTTTGTTTTTTGTTTATTAACTGCAATAGTTGTGCTTCACGAAACGAGCGCTTTTCATGCATGGACACAGAATCGTTCCATGCTGGCGGGTTATCTTGATCGTTCAAATCTTTGTTGAGACGGTCAATTTACGACCTCAGTTTTTGTTTGACGCCGCCGCGCTTTTTCTGTTTCTTTGGTTTCTTATCCATTCCTACTCTACTCACTCAGATATTTACTTATTGTCCACAGCTATCCCTCCATAGCTGCTTTCGATGTATTTGTTGCCAGAATTGTAGTAAATGGCATCTGCTGTTGTTTTTGTTGAAGTTTATTGTCAGTCTTCTTGGCTGCCCTTCCACTAGTTTTTGGGATGTTTTTTATTCACTGCAGGTTGGTGAGACCATTGTCACGGTCGCCATGTAATGTCTGATATTCAAGTTTATGTTTAAGAATAATAATGAGGCATTCAGTGCTCTTGAACTTTAGTTGTTCGAATGAATTTTATTCAAAGTAAAATATTCCGCTTAACCTATGGATACATGTATATACTTATGCTGTTATTGGTTAACAGCTACAAAGAGAGGGAGAGTGAGTAGCTTGCATATGCCTGTGTTATTCGCCAGATGGTCAGGTTAGTTCGATGCAGGTGTAGAGAAATGTTGGGTAAGTACCTAAGTGACGTACGTGCCAAAATAATGTTGGACTGAGATTTAAAGAAAGAGTTACGCAGGAGATAATTGTGCGTGTAATACTGAGTCACAAGGCGTCTTCTTTTAATAAGGCTGCATCGTTTTATCGGATGGCGAATGCTTCGACTTGACTGTTTATAGTTTCCTTTTTAAGCTCTCTATGAAAGGTAGAATTTCTGACGCACCAGTCAGCACCGGTCATTCGGCGTCCAAGTTTTGGAGTGCTTGAATCGGTGTTAGATTTGTCCAAGATGCAAAGTCCCAAACCTGGATACCATATCTCCAAGTTGGCGCTACCACGACGTTGTATATTGCTCAGTTGACCGCCCGGAAATAGCCGTAGTGTGTGTCTGAGTATGTGAGTGACCAACGCATTCGTGAGAGAGCTATTGCCAAGTCTCACTAACACTTGCAAAGCACTATCCAATAGGAGCACAGAGAGTGCTGCGAAACCAGTCACTGCCCGTAACAGTGATGACACTTTCCAGTCTCCGTATCGCTTTCTGTTCACCAAAGTCCCTTTTTGCAAAAAAACCGGCGATTTTTGTAATTTAGTGCATGATATTAAATGTGGAAAACAACTAATTCTAATGGCGTCCAACATCCCATTTCAACCTTATCGAGACTATCCAGCGTCACCAATATATCACCCACCGGAACTTGCTCTACCGCCCTACATTACGCTGTGCAGGTGCACTACGCAGTCCAATTGCCTGCTCACTAGGAACGACTACACACACGCACATTGCATCAGCTTTCAGAGCCCCACAGCCCCGGCTCTCCTGAGACAGAGCCTTGCTACAAGTGCGGACCTACATGCCTTTCTAAGCAAATACCCTCCAAACCTAATAATCTGCTGTCAAAAGGAAACTTTCCCAAAAAAGGGGCCGCCAAAAAAGGACAGTGGTGTTCTCTCGCCCAGTATTTCTCGTAAGAAGGCAACAAGCGGCAAATCAGCAATGTGCTTGCAACCTTCCCAAGCAAGTGCTTCTCTTGGAGTGCCCTTCCCCGAAAGTGCCTAGAACAACGGTGCCATCGTCAGCTTTGATACGTTCTGCAAGGAACTGTATAACATCCTAAGCCGCTCAACTCTAGCGACTGCATCATGCAGTGCCACAACTCGGACGATTACTGAACGGTGGCAAGACACCTTCGCGAGAACGATTGCGTGTTCCATCACCACCAATTGACAGAGGACCCGCCATCCCGCATAGTGCTGAGAAATATCTACCGCGAGGTACCGCGGTGCCATCCGAAGATATTTTAGATATTATTAGATAGGGGGCACCATGTCGTCCGTATGTACACGCTGCATATCAGAGTCGATAACGAGCCACTCTACATGAAATTTAGATACAAAGTGTCGTGGGAGAAGCCTCTTAAAACGCCGGGTGCCAGCCCAATGCGGCAGAAACCAAGAGTAAGGCCACACCAAGCTCGAAATATTAAGTGTGCAAGGAGTGTGGGGACTATCATCCAAAAGGCGGGTGCCCACTTGGGATGAATGACTGTGGTGAATTACACGTAGCAATTTTCAAAGGCTGCAAGAAGTACCTGCAGTACGCCTTCCAGCAAATGACAGAGACGCAAGCCGCTCCACGGATCGGCGCCCCCAAGTATATCGCGTCTTGGCAATAGCTCTCTCACGAATGCGTTGCTCACTCACATACTCAGACACACACTACGGCTATTTCCGGGCGGTCAACTGAGCAATATACAACGTCGTGGTGTCGCCAACTTGGAGATATGGTAACAAGTGACCTCGCTGGGTGGTGTGAGTTCAGATGGCTCAAGAGACAGACGCTTCCTCCATAACCTCCTCCAAACTAGACAAAAGACGATAAAGCCTGTGGACCCAACCAGGCTTAGCGAAATATCACCTAACTGTGTCTTATACTATCAATACAATAAGAAAAGAGAAAATTAAAGAAAGACCTATCGAGCAGACACAATTTTTTTTAAATTTATTTGCATTGCTGGTGAAGCAATCATACAAAATAATTTGAAAATATCCGCTAAGCTATCATAGCGATCGCAGCTATACCGACAGAATGCTGACTCTGCGCCACGTAACCATTCAAATTTGGGAAACCATGTGACACCACGTCCAAGCCTGTAAAACTCATTCATAATCTAAGCGAATCAACTATGTATAGAAAAAAAATAACGTTTACCTAATTGGCGCCCAATTTTGAAGAATCTCGCGATCGTTCCCAAGGCGCCTAGCCAAAGATTTCGACAAAACACTTTCTGATTTTGTGTGGAGAAAAGCAATTTAACAAAAAGCCCATCAAACGTTGAAGCACTTTTAGTCACTAAAACCGAAAGAAATTGCTATGCGGTATACACAGCTATCGACGTAACGTGTTGTTATACTAACGGTGCGTGCATTTAAACCTGCGCCAAAAGCTACAATCAATTCGACATAACGTTCTTTACGTTTAGTGCAGAGCAGTGTGCCTGGCCAACGTCAACTCGGTCAATGTATGTTTGTTAAAACACACAAAATGTTCTTCTGTACACCGAAGCCGCTGGAGCTCTTCGGCCAGCGGCATGTAGCCAGTATAGCACGCAAGCTAGTCTGAACAGCGTTGAAAAATTGTTGGTACCTGACAGCAGCGAAGGGTGCCGGTCATTTTGTTCTGCTGATCCAATAGACCATTGAATGTTATATCATTTCGAAAAAAAGTCTCTCGCTAATCTGATTCTGTGACTAGTTATAATATCTTATAACAACTAATGAATAGGGCATCCGAAAAATATAGAGACCCCTGCTCGATAAGTTTTGACTCAGACGACTCAGATAGCGACGACATTATGGTAGACCCATTCAAACAAAACAGAAGGGGATCCCCACCAACTTAGGGCTTTAGACGTGTCAGCGATTTCAGCTGCCCTCGATGCACAAGCAAAGGCATTCAATGAAAAAGATTCAGCTCTTAAGGAGAACTTCTACAGGCAAATTGCTGAGTTAACAAAAAAGTTACGGATCTGAGGTCAAAGCGCTCCCAATTGATTCGTTCGAAGAACTACAAATCGTAGACAGCATTCGCTGCGACGAGCCTCTAGATGCGGCCAAATGTCTAGCAGAGTTTACGGGGTTGCAAGAAACGTATGTTTCATGGCGACAAGCTGCAATGGCAGTATATAAGAAATTAAGACGATATAATGGCAGCTTTCGCCATTATCAGGGAGTAATAATTATCAGAAGCAAAATAAAGGGTTCGGCCCACGTAGTTTTGTCCTCGTTCACCACAATACTAAATTTTGATGCCATCATCAACCGTTTAGATTAAACCGTTTATAAACACCCTTTACTCATAAACAAAGTCAACACGACATATGACGCAACTCTAGTGATGTGATGCGTTGCGCATATTTATCTCTGGCCTTTGGCGCAGTGTCTCTGATGTCCTATTTGAGGCACATCCGCTTGATCTTCCCTATGCTTTAAGACTCACCCAGGAAATCGAGGCTAATCACGACAGATACACTTTCGTAACAAACTATGCAAGATAACTTTGAGGCTAGGGCTCGGAAACCCGACCAAAAGCATCAATCCCAACAACGGCAATAGGGCCCAGACGCAGTCAAGGCACTGCCCGCTTTTGCCAACAACCCACATTAATGTCTGTGGGTCAATGTCTAGAAATCTGATGCCATCGCAGGCACCAGCGTACGTCAACTCGAGTAATCCGCAGGCTTAGAAGAGAACGAACGCCTCTGACCGATCAACGGGTAATGGGTAACGTTAGGTGGAAAATAGCGAGGACTCAGATGAACCTCATCCTCGACACGGGTGCGGAAATAATAACATTCGTCCGCACCATGGGCTGAAAGGAGTCCGACCAGTCGACAATCCATTTACCCAAAACTCCCTTCATGGCATTACCAAGATTTTAGAGAATTGATATGTATGAATGTTTGTTAAAAAGGCTAATTTTTCCATCTCTCAGAACTTTTAAAATTTGATAGGGTTATAGCCCTCGACCTGAAGACACAAGTTGGGGCAGAGCTTTGCCTAAGCTCCAGACAACTCAAGCTTGGCAATGATTCTGAACAAATATTTTACCATAGGTGTGTGAACGTCAATTTTATTAATAAAAATTTTTTAAATTTAAAATCTTTTGGAAAATGGAATAATTCAGAACTCCGTTTCTCCCTATAACAATCCCATTTGTGTGGCTGTCAAAAAGGACACGGATGATATGGGTACCCGGATTATGCATATTGTGATGGACTTTCGGAAACTCAATGAAAGAACCATAGTGGACAGATACCCCATGCCCAGTAGCTCTATTATTCTGGGAAATTTAGATGAAGCCATGTACTTTTCGACGGTGGATCATAAGTCTGGCTACCACCAAATCACGCTCACAGACCGGGAGAAAACTTTTTTTCGATGAACGGAGGGGAGGATAAATTCTGTCGGTTTCCTCTCCACCAGCATTTGACATTGATTGATGACATACTGTGGGAACAGATTGGCAGGTCATGCAACGCCTATGTCGATGACTTCATAATTTTTTAGCAAGATGAAGAGCTTGTATGAAGCAAGGTTGAAGGTACCTGAGGAAAAATCTCGTTATTTTAAGAAAAGTGTACATTTCCTTGGATTTGTTATAACTAGGGACGGTGTCACAATACTTTCCAGACAGTTTTTGAGGTCAGGTCGCTCTTCGGATTCGCAAGCTATTATAGAAGCTTTTTTAAACATTTTGCACAATATCGAAACCCACCTTCAACATCCTAAAGGGGGAACATGGGTCAATCAGCAGACAAAGATAACGAAAAATTCGAGTCGAATTTTCTGATCACCAACACAGTGCTTCATTCTTCGATACTGTGACTTCAGGAAGCTTTTCGGTCTAATGACCGACGCTTCGGGGTATGGTATTAGAGCAGTACTTTCCCAGGGGAAGGGCGACGCATCACAATGATCTCCAATACGTTGAAAAGCCCGGAAGTTAACAACGCCACAAGCGAAAGAGACCTTCTAGCCATCGATTGGGCCCTTCGCAAGTTGTGTCACTACCTATAACGACATAAACATCTTCGCAGACCACCAGCCGCTGGTCTTCGCCGTGTCTGATTCCAACCCAAACGCTAAAATCAACTTGCAGAAAGCACGCACTGACGAATCTAACGCTCGCATTTCTTACAAACAAGGAAAAAAGAATCTAGTTGCCGGTGCCTTGTCCAGGCAACAGCTCAAAGGTTTAAGCCAGAAAGAAGCTGACTCATGCGTCGCAACAGTTTATAGTGAGCTCTCCTTGACTTATACCATTGAGTCCACTGACTAGCCCTTGAACTGTTTTCAGAACCATATAATTCTTTTAGAGGCGCGTTTCCCATTCAAGCGAGGCTTTATCCTGCTTAGATACAAGAGGACACTCCCAAAGTTTTATCTTCAGATAATCACTACTCTAGGAGTTAGTGGAAGTAGGCAATACACTGCGCTTTACACACTTTGGTGCTGGTGCAGGAGGATTTGGCGGAAATATTCTACTATCAACTTCTAGCTCTTTAAAAAAAAGAGAAGCAAAATTCTCATTACGGAACACAACTGGGCAGCTCAGGAGAAGGAGAGAAGGAGAAGGAGAGGCCCTCTTAGAGTACTATTTCCCAAAAATGGCTAAAATAGTCAACGAAATTGTACAAAACTGCAAGACCTGCGCTAGGGCTATATACGATAGACACCCTAGGAAACAAGAAATTGGTGGGACACTATTCCTTTACATGCGGGGAATATGTTACATGTGGACATCCTCTCAACTGAAAATATTTTTCTTTTGGACTGGTGTTGCCAAATTTTCGAAATTTGTTGAACAGTTGAATAGTTGAGCCTATCCTATCTAGAACTATAGAGGACTAGAAAGTATCCATATTATAACTCATGAATTTCTTCTCGGGGGTCAAAACAATCTACTTTGACAATGAGCCAGCTTTAAAATCCCAGACTCGCTGCGGATGAGTAATTATAGAGTCAGCGTTTTAAATCCGCCGCCCTTGCTTAACGTTTCCAACGGGCAGGGCATACTGGAACTTGCTGGATGTTTAAGAATTGACAAAAACATTAGCGACACTGTAGAGGATAGGACAGGACAGAAATAGGACAATACATCACGTCTCTGGCAAGCGGCCAGTTAATGCTGTTCGTTTACTCCCAGGCGAATCACAGACGGAGATTCAAAGTAAGCTTAAAAGGGCACAAGACCTCTCAGAGCTAGAGAGAATGACTTCCGGCGACATCAGGTCTTTGAAGTTAGCTAGAATGTGGTAGTAAAATCCAATCGCAGGCTCGGAAACAAACTCACATCTTTGTGTGAAGAAAGAACCGTGGAAGCTGACTTGGGAAACACAGTTCTCATTAAGGGGAGTACACAAGGACAACCTTAGGTAGGATTACCCATTTTACTCTTAATTTAATTGTGCCATTTGGCATTTTTTCCTGTATATTAAGTTACTATAGACATAAGTTTAAGCCACTTGGCACCCCACTTTTCATGGTGATGGGTCATTTTCATGCCACTTGGCACCCTTTATAAGTAAGATAAGTTCGGTGATGGGTTGTTCAATGTTTCCTTTCCGCCTTCTTAGAAAATAGACGTTATTTTGACTCCACAGGCTTGGGTTTCTGATACTGCTTATCCTCACGACGACTTCGGCACAGACTACTCACTCGCTAGATACATTCCGATCGTCGACAGCCAGGTCCGTGTATGGGATGAGCTAGTTGTCGTCCGACATTTAGCGAACATATCTGAATATGAGCGCATGTTGGACGAGGCGGCGAAGCTGTGCGACCTGTTTCCACAGTCACATATGAAAAAACTTCTGAATGTGGATACAAAACAAATCAGGGATACGCTGGAGGCCCTGTGCAGACACCATAGAATCTAAAGGAGTCTTGACTTTCTGGGTTCAATTTCAAAGAGAGAATATGAATCTCTAATAATAAATTCCAACAATGGACAGGTGCAAATATTCGCTCGAGTACATGATCAGATTTACCAACTCACCCTCACAGTAAAGCAAATTTTAAAGGCCGTAAAGGATAGTAAAATTGATTCCGGCAATTAATACGATACACTTTTGATAAGAATGGAATTGCATATTTTAAATCTCTTCATAACCTTAGCTAAGGCCAAAATTGTTAGTCCAAATGTCTTAGACCACGCACACAGATACTCCCTTTGCCTTCCAGATGGACAGACAAACAGACGGACATGGCTAAATCGACTCGGCTATTCATGCTGATCAAGAATATATATACTTTATGGGGTTGGGGATGCTTCCTTCTGCCTGTTACATACATTTACATTTTGCACTAATACAATATAGCATTTTCACCCCTTTATGATGGATTAAGGGTATAAAAATAACTAAAGTTTACCCAATTTGTATATCTCTATATATTAAACTGTTTGTCCTGACTGACTGACCGATTGGTGATCATCACACTTTTCGTAAATTCTAAACTTCTTCTTAAGTTTTGTCCGAATTGCTTCAAACTTTTTTGCAAAGTTTTACATAAGAATATAATGAATATGTGTTTAAGTTATTTTTTGATTTGAAGCTCCACCCGCAACAGTGATAAATTGGCGGAAAACGTTACTATGAAAGTTTTATGTTTACCGTCCGATCAGTTTCAATATCATTTTCAAAGCTTTTTGAGAACATTGAATTTATAACATATGTGTAACAGGCAAGGTCGGGTTATACTCGCTAGTAAATATATATAATATATTGCTCTGACTTACTAATGACTTATCGGTGATTAATTATTATTGGTGTTAGGAAGCTGAAAATTTAACTAAAGATTCCTTTTGGGTCAGAAGTCTTCAGTAAGCAGTGTTTGGAAAAGGCGACTGAGAATGAGGGTCAAAGTTTATATGGCGACGATTATAAATAATAAATAATTACTTGTAAAGCTTATAACTTTATCCTACCTTTGTGTTGTTAGTTCTTCTTTCGAGGCTGTATGGTTATAGTACTCTGCTGATGGGAGCCGATCAATATTAGTCGAAGAGTAATACGGATAGAAACATGCGTGAGCATCCTTTAAAAGCAATTTGCTGAAATTTAATAACGACTTTAACATGAATATTTATTTAATATAACTTTGATTAGTAGTCTAATAATATAATGTAACCAACGAATTTTGTTCAAAATGTTGCTTACTTAAACACCTTTTGTGGGTTGATTTGGGTACTTTAAAGGCACATCCAAAAGTTAGAGCTTATATTTATGCTCTCCTATCGCTGATTAGAGAAGTGATTAAACTGATCACCGTTCTTTATGATCATAATTTATCATTTATATTTTTATTACGAACAAGTGGCTTTTGTCGAGAGCGCTCGACTTGTGAATACCCACTTCCCTAAACTGGCCGAAGTACTACGCAGCAGAGCAGAAGTCAAGTCTCTAACTCTTCTTCTGAAATCCTTGCGTTACTACATACGGACGGACGGACGGACAGAGAGACTGACAGGCAGACAGACGGACATGGCAAGATAGACTCGACTATTGATTCTGATCAAGAATATATATACTTTATGGGGTCGGAGATGCTTCCTTCCTTCGGCCTGTTACATACATTTGGATTTTGCACAAATACAATATACCCTTATACCCATTTTTAATGGGTTCAGGGTATAAAAAGAGCGTATGCCAAGCACCAAAGTGCAGAATAGTCAGCAGGCGGATCCACAGTCAAATGGCGAGAAAAACCCACACTACAATAAGCAGGCCAGGACGCAAAGTCAAGCCGATCAAAAGAGCGGCAGATAACATTGATGATGGCAACAGCAAAGCATGGTTCGGATGCGCTCAATTTTTTAGGAGTTAGTCCCTGCTCCCTGACATCCGACGAAGAGTAGCGGGGACTAATATGGAGTGCCTCATCGGTACGGGCGCGTCAAAGATTTTTATTCGATCATACGAAGGATTAAAAAGCGTTTCCCCGGTTGCCAAAAATTTCACAATTCATCTAATCCGTGGCAGAAAAAACATCACACAAGAAGGTTTTGTATCTAAGTTTTGTATCTAAGTATTTGTATTAATACAATGTTTTACCAGACAACATTTTATGGAATGATAGGCCATGACCTGTTAACACAGTTAACACTTAAGTGGGGTACGCAAGTCGAAAAAATCACCTTCCCCACTTGTGCCAATGTAAATTTTTCAAGAGTATATTGTACAAAGGTACTCCCATTAGATAAAAGTTCTTTCTCGTGGCTACCATTAGGACCACAGATGAGCAACCCATCTATGCCAAGGTTTACCCTTATCCAATGGGATTTAATTTCGTAAATAAAGGAATCAAAGATCTGTTAAAAAATGACTTAATTTAAAAGTCCGTCTTACCCTACAATAACCCATTATGGGTAGTAGTAGGGCAATTTTTTCTATGACTATGTTGATCACTTAATTACCTTCTTAGAAGATGAGGAGTCCCACACGAAGCAAACATGAAAGTTTTAGTCGAGAAATCGCATTTTATTAAGAAATCCGTGAGCTGCCTGTAATTCAGATCCAAAAAAGGTTAGGGCAATACAGGAGTTTCCAGAACCTATTTGAGGTCAGATCATTTCTAGACCTCGCAAGTTATTACAGATTTTTCATTAGGGACTTCGCTGCAATAGCAAGACCCATCTCGAATATTTTGAAGGGCGTAAATGGAACAGTCAGTAAACATAGATCTAGAGACATAAAGGTACAATGCTTTCAAGCGCAGCAACGCTCGTTTTATGTGTTGCGTAACATTTTGGCATCCGAGGTTGTCAAGCTGAGGTACCCCGACTTTAAGAAGCCATTCGATCTAACTACCGATGTTTCGGCCCACGGCATAGGTGCGGTTTTGTCTCAGGTGGGTTGTCACATAATAATGATTTCGAGCCATTAAAGGATTGTGAGATTGTGCGTATTTTGCAAGAAATGAAAGAGAGCTATTGGCCATTGTATGGTCTCTTGCCAAATTAAGTCACTATTTGTATGTAATGAAAGACATTAACGTCTTCACTGAACCTTGACCATCAACCTTGACCTTCGCAGAATCCAAATTCGATGATCAAAAAGTGGAAAGCGTGCGTTGATAAGTCTAATGCGCGCCTCTTTTACAAACCCGTCAATGACAATTTGGTTGCGAATGCTAAATCGAGAAAACTGCTCAACTTTGTAGATGAACAAGAGGTGGAGTCCTATGCAGCAACGATCCTCAGCGAGGCCTCTCTCACCAACACCATTGAGTCAACAATCAAACCCTTGAACTGTTTTCAAAACCAAAGAGTGGTAAAAGAGACGCGTTTCCCCTTTAAACGGAGTTTCATTCATTTTGGGAAAAAGAAAAGTTACTTGATCAACTATACTTGCATTCAATCATTGCTAGAGGAACTTGAAGATGTAGTTTCACCTAAATGCGTAAATGCTCTCCACTGCATACACATGCAACTATACAAGACGCATTGGTTCGAAGATACCCACGAAGTTCTGACACTGCAAGCATCGTGTGGACGTATTTGTGGTTGGAGAAAAAGGAGAAATCCTCACAGCTGAGTATAAAAGATAAAATAGTACCGAATTGCAATACGTGAGCTAGGGTTACATATAATTGACACCTCAAGAAACAGGAACTTGGCGAGACTACGATCCCCTCACTTGTATGACAGATGTGGCTCATAGACATATTCGCCACTGATTAGAAGTTTTTCTCTCTTGCGTCGACAAGTTTTCTAAATTTGCTGTTGGACAACCGATCCCTTTAAGTACCATTGTGGATCTGAAGCCACCCTTATTGCAACTGATGACTATTTTTTATGAAAATCTACTATTTTTATTTTGTTTACTCTGACAGTAAAAGTCATTGAATTCAGAAACCATCGTGGCTATTATTTATGATTTATATATATACATATATATATATACTGCCGCTCTGCTGCTGTACTCAGTGACAGAGACTTATATACAAAAACTCTTATGTTAGACTTAAGAACAAACATATAAACATCAGTCGTGATAAAACTGTTTTATAAACCGGACATAAACCTTGTCCTTAGGCTATGACAATAAACAGTCATTGAATAGCAGTGTACAATGTACATATATGCTTTAAGTGTATGCATATATACATACTTCCGCTCTGCTGCTGTACTCAGTGACAGAGACTTATATACAAAAACTCTAATGTTAGGCTTAAGAACAAACATATAATTAAACATCTGTCGTGATAAAACTGTTTTATAAACTGGACTTAGATATTATCCTCAGGCCCAGCTGGGCCGCTTATGTTCCAGCTAGAGTCCTCTACGAGTAAAGTGTAAATGGACGTCAAAGATTTGGTGGATCACGTTTCGCCCTCAAATTTATTTTCATTTTGGAATACCATTTGAAGTGAGTTCTACATTTTTTCGCAGAATCAAATCATCCTCGGTAAAAAGTGTGTTTCAAAGAATTTTTTGGTGAAGTTGTAATTATATCCAATTTGCTTCAAAATTATTTAATAAGCAATACATAAAAATCGTGCTAATACATATTGGCTATATTTGCTCTTAAGGCGAATCTATAAAAGCAAAATATAGTCATAGTCTCAAAAAGACGCTCTGGACAATCTGGTATGTAACCTCTAGCACTTTCTTGGGACTTTTAAATGGAAATGCTACAGTTTAATGGCCATTTTCAGATTGTCCAACGAAGCTGTTTTCGCATTGTGTTCCCTATTCAGTGAATCGCATCTCCAAAACCGTTGCACTTGCTTTTGCAGTGTCAAGCTAGTGCTGGGTGTAAGCTCGCCAACAAATACCCAGCGTGATAGCGTTTTCTGTAGAGCAGTCAATTTGTGTCCTAGTTTAATTTGATGATGGCAACAGCAAAGCATGGTTCGGATGCGCTCAATTTTCTAGGAGTTAGTCCCTGCTCCCTGACATCCGACGAAGAGTAGCGGGGACTAATATGGAGTGCCTCATCGGTACGGGCGCGTCAAAGAATTTTATTCGACCATACGAAGGATTAAAAAGCGTTTCCCCGGTTGCCAAAAATTTCACAATTCATCTAATCCATGGCAGAAAAAACATCACACAAGAAGGTTTTGTATCTAAGTTTTGTATCTAAGTATTTGTATTAATACAATGTTTTACCAGACAACATTTTATGGAATGATAGGCCATGACCTGTTAACACAGTTAACACTTAAGTGGGGTACGCAAGTCGAAAAAATCACCTTCCCCACTTGTGCCAATGTAAATTTTTCAAGAGTATATTGTACAAAGGTACTCCCATTAGATAAAAGTTCTTTCTCGTGGCTACCATTAGGACCACAGATGAGCAACCCATCTATGCCAAGGTTTACCCTTATCCAATGGGATTTAATTTCGTAAATAAAGGAATCAAAGATCTGTTAAAAAATGACTTAATTTAAAAGTCCGTCTTACCCTACAATAACCCATTATGGGTAGTAGTAGGGCAATTTTTTCTATGACTATGTTGATCACTTAATTACCTTCTTAGAAGATGAGGAGTCCCACACGAAGCAAACATGAAAGTTTTAGTCGAGAAATCGCATTTTATTAAGAAATCCGTGAGCTGCCTGTAATTCAGATCCAAAAAAGGTTAGGGCAATACAGGAGTTTCCAGAACCTATTTGAGGTCAGATCATTTCTAGACCTCGCAAGTTATTACAGATTTTTCATTAGGGACTTCGCTGCAATAGCAAGACCCATCTCGAATATTTTGAAGGGCGTAAATGGAACAGTCAGTAAACATAGATCTAGAGACATAAAGGTACAATGCTTTCAAGCGCAGCAACGCTCGTTTTATGTGTTGCGTAACATTTTGGCATCCGAGGTTGTCAAGCTGAGGTACCCCGACTTTAAGAAGCCATTCGATCTAACTACCGATGTTTCGGCCCACGGCATAGGTGCGGTTTTGTCTCAGGTGGGTTGTCACATAATAATGATTTCGAGCCATTAAAGGATTGTGAGATTGTGCGTATTTTGCAAGAAATGAAAGAGAGCTATTGGCCATTGTATGGTCTCTTGCCAAATTAAGTCACTATTTGTATGTAATGAAAGACATTAAC